TTTTTTTTTTTTTTTTTTTTTTTTTTTTTTTTTTTTTTTTGTACACATTATTTTGACTCTTCAAGTTGTTTTTTGCATTACTTTGGTTCTGGACTCGTCAAATTTGTGTATTTTCTGAGTTAAAGACAATATTTGGGTGATTTTATTATTATAAAAGAAACAAATATGGCTTTAGTAGAAGTTTTTATAATTTGGATGATCACCCAAAGAATTTACAGTCATTGCCAGAAGGTAGAGTTCGTATTAACAAAAATGAAAATGACTTTAGTTGAATCTTATCACCTGACACATTTATTATTTCTTTAGGCGGACCTACATGATTTTAAGTTTTTTTTTTTTTTTTTTTGGTATTATTGAATCCCACTTGTCCAAAACAAACAGTGTAAATAGAATTTTTTTTTTTTTTTTTTTTTGGTATTATTGAATCCCACTTGTCCAAAACAAACAGTGTAAATAGAATTTTTTTTTTTTTTTTTTTTTGCATATATAAAGTTTGTTTATTTGTGATATGTTCCATGGGCGCTGTAAACAGCCCAATATGGGTAGGGGTAAACGCACCTTCACAACTTGGCGCTCGACGAATTTTGTTGCCTAAAGTCAAACTTTTTTAGGTGCCTTAACTTTTTTTTTAATTATTTATCTGAAGTCTATTTTTTCTAGTTTTTCTTAGATACAAAGTTATTAATGATTTTTTTATAATCAGTAACTCCTAATAAGTATTTCTCAACTAACAATATTGCTAATCCAATTAACTTTTCTTGTGATATTGTTGTTCTTAGGTAAGATTTTATCATTTTTAATTTTAAAAACTTCTTTCCGCTGAAGCAACGGTGATATGAGTTATTAAAATTTTTTCATAAAAAATTTAGGCATTTGAAAAAGAATTAAATCTTTTTATTTGTTTAAATGTATCAATTAAACCGTTATCTTCTAATTGTACGTACTATTTTTCTTAATACTTTTAATTCAGAAAATAAATTTATACTATCAATATCGAATTGATTATTATGCTTTAAGGAACATTCAAGATTAAGGCAATATTATTTCAAATTTCCAACATCTATACTGCCAACTAGAAAACCAAAAATATTTTCATATGCTTTGAATTTTTCAAATCTATATTAAAGTGAAAAAATAGTTTTGTCTATTATGTATAAAAATAATCAACTCTAAAGGACCCTTCGAAAGATTTTGAGATTTCATTATCAACATTCACATCAAATTGTTACTTCCTATATATCACACGTTTCTTATGAAATTCAGGTTCGATATTCATTTCAATTGCAATTTCCTTAGTGGAAATCATCGCAGTTGCAAATCATTCTTCTCTATATTTGTTAAAGAAAGAAATCAAACCTTTTCACTTCACAGAATTTTTTTTTAAAAATTTATACATAGTCTATTAAATGTAACATAAAATAGGGCTTCCATAAATATGGAGCCTAAAGCGGTTACTTTACTTGCTTTATGGAAGGGTCACCCCTACTTCAGAAGCAATGTCATCAAAAAAAAAATGCTGCATTTATCTAAGTAATATTTGAAAAATAATAAAAAGTTATCATATATAATATTCAAAATAAGGAAAAATGGTCAAATCTGTCCTTTTACTATGCAAAAAAGATTAATTTTACCCCCATAATTGACTCATGGATAAAATTTCAATGTCAAGAGTTGAAACTGTTGCCCATAGGGAAAGTGAGATACAATATTTGTTAAATTTAAAATTTTGCCCCTGAGGTAAACAGAGACAAAAATCAAGAATGTTTACTTTAAGAGCTATTTGTGTACTTCACCGAATAATATTGGATGACACCGCTAATTAAAAAGCTGCTTGGTTTCAGCCTGTTAATGTGGTTCTCTGCTCAAGAGAGTTCACATGTTTGAACTTTACTGGTTCTAAGATGTTAGTATCTGAGGTCTGAATCTTATTTTATACATATTTAGTGAATTTCTCAGAATAAATATAAGATTTTGACTAAAACAATCGGGTTGGTTTACCTTCTAGCTTCACGGTTACTGTCGAGTGCTACAGTCAAACTTAGAATCTCGTAATTAAATATTCGCATATGCATTCCGAAATATTGTAAGGGTAAATAGCAATTAGAGTTCTCTTATTCTTAGATCCTAAATTTTTTCTGGGGCAATCAGGTTTCTTTCTAATTGAAATCCCAGAAAATGTTCAACGAAAACTACGTGTCCCAATCAGAAACCAGCCCAATCAGTAAGTGGAGAACTGAAGAGCTAACAACTTGTTTGGATGATTACTTGTTCTATTGTACCTTATCGTTGCATTAAATACAATATTTATATTGACTGTTACTTAAATTTTTTTGTATCGTAGACTGATTTGATGTGGTCATGTTATTGACTTTTTTTCATCTTGCCCTTCTTTATTATTAAATAATTCTATTTTATCTTTATCCTGCCTTTTATATATTAATTCTACCTCATACCTTACTTTTTTTTTTTTATTTTATAAAATTACAAGTTTATTCTTCATGTTGTTGATGTATGACATCATAAAACGATAACAAACAATACAATCTATCCAAACATTAAATACATCAAAACGATACAGTACAATACAATACAATACAATACAATACAATACAATACAATACAATACAATATGAAAGAATGCCTAACAACCATCCAAACAAGCTGTAAATAAACATAAAATTAAAAGTTTTTTTTTTCCTTTCATTTCACACATTAAAAGTTCATATAATTCATACTAGCTATACCAAAAAAGCTGTTTTGGTACTTCGTTTCTTATGCTTGGACAAAGGAATATGAAACAGTAAATCCGAAACCAAAGAATGATGTTAAACGCAGTACCAGAAAGCAAAATAATCAGCAAAAAAAATAAATACTTTATGCTATTCCTACAGTTTGTCATTAAAAGAATAAATTACCAAATCTTTTTCAATCGCCGTCCAAATTTAATGTGCCACTTCTCAATCCACTTGTATTCCTTTGGCGAGATCAAGCTTTCCACATAATTAATGTCTCCCATATTACAATGTAGATCGTATATACCAACTTTAAACCGACGATCATGTATCATAAAAACCAGTAATTCTTTATTCTCGGTCACGAGAAGGCGCGCTGCAAATCCCCAAGGCGAATATATTTTAAATTTTTTTATGTCAAATAAGACTGTCCATGATTTCTTTACTCCATATTCCTTCATCATAAATTCCTCGTTTTTATCATCATCCAAACAAGTCATGATCCTACGAAGACATTCATTTACAACTCCTAATCCAACTGTAACATTCTCTCGGTGAGCAGACTCAGGGACCAGTAACTTATGGAAGGTTTCAGTGATGGGATCAAAATAAATTACATGGTTACGAGTTCCAAAGTAGGGTTTTTCTACCCGTACCATATAGTGAATTCGTTCATGCAGTGTAACTCCACCTCTATTTCCACCTCTTCTGACTGAGCGGATGTCATAAGGGAATTCGAGTCGCCTCCACTTTTTGTCTAGAAGACTAGCAACTATGACAAACCCACAAGTTCGGGTCAGATGGTCCATAATCAGCACAGGCTTGTAAACTGAAAGATTGAGAGGACTGATGATGCACCCTGTAGCTTCTATATACATTACATCCTATAGATACAACAAATGTACATATAATATTCCTAGACAATAGTATTGTTTACTATGTGAGTCCATACTCACTTTTAGTGCATGCTCACTAATACAAATGTGGGCATGTGCTCACTCATGTGTATGGTACTAATAAATGAATGGCCAGGATGTGTTTATGTGTTCTAATCCAACGGTCAGGATTAGATCTTCTGATCTGAGTATCAACAGCTATAATGCTGCCACGTCACTGTCCACTTATCAGTATCAATGTGTTTTCATTTTGTCTTCTTCTTCTTT